AAAAGTATTTGAAGGACGCTCTGGCCTCTGGGGTTTTGCCGTTTTGGACTTTTGGCCCCTACTCTGGAGTCATGATTCTGGACTCTGTAGTCTGGGGAGTGGCCGAGAGTGAGTTTGGACTTTGGAGTGTGGAGATTGGAGAGTGGAGCCTCTCTCGCTCTTCTTGTTGTTGAAGTTGAAACTTGGAACACGTGACTTTTATTTTTGTCCTTTTTCGGTTCGTTTTCTTTATTTATTTTTTTATATAAAACAATGTAAAACAAAAACAAAACAAAAACAACAAAGATAAATAAATAACAGGACACAGGTGAACAGTGAACACTGAACAGTGAACAGTGGAACACTGAACACTGAACGCTGTGTCTGAACTCTGAACAGCTGCTGAAGCCTCAAGTGGCCGCCTTGAACACTGAACAGTGAACAGTTGAACACTGAACGCTGTGTCTGAACTCTGAACAGCTGCTGAAGCCTCAAGTGGCCGCCTTGAACACTGATCATTATGTATGTATCGATTTTTAGCTCATTTGACCCGTTTATCTGAACATATTTGGTTTATATACCGAATAAACCCCATACTGGACGGGAGCGACTCAAAGATTTGAATTAAGCCTGAACAGTGAACACACTATTTCTCTACTACTATATAGTTTGTTTTTTTAAAATAGATACTACTAGTAGTGGTAGTGGAGATCAGTGAGAATGAATGGGCAGTGAAACCCTGGGTTACACAAAGGTTGGTTAGTTGGTATACGACAACGACGTAATATTTAAAAATAACAAATACATCCATGGAAGAATGTCGCGGCGACATGTATTAAATAAAAATAACATTGTGCGCCGACTGAGTGACTGATCACTGATCTGAGTCTTTGAGATCGAAAACTTTTATTTTTGGTACAAATAGTTGTGCATTGGTGACTGGTGAACTGGTGCCGTGACTGGCCCCTCTCTCTCTCTCTCCTATTTTGTTTTTAGAAAAAAATATTATTAATAATAAAATTTAAAAATAAATAAAATAAATGTTCCATTGTCAGAAGGCTAGGATAAAAAGTAAATATGTAGCCCCACAAAATTACACATTCTATTAAAAAGTATTCAGTCTAAATACACTCTTGACTCTACACTCTACAGTACAAAATAGTTGTGAGGAATTTTACACTTTATCGTTCCAAATGGATATGTACAAACTCGCTTTATGACCACATCGACCACTTTGACTGCGACAACGGCTGAGGCTCTCGCCTGGACAAATCCGTGTTAGTTTGCTAGTGAAAGTGTAATGAAAGTATCCGGTGTGTTCTGTAAAAATAATTGTTACTCGTAATAGACTTTTTTCTTAAAGAAATTGTCAGCCAACAATTCAATACATAGTATAGGTCCGTTCGTATATGTGTACACTACAGACAATCGTCGAGAGTCTGAGAATCTTCGAAACGTGCGGTTGCACTTGAAGGTGCTTGATTACACACGTTGCTATTTATAGACACTGGCCTAATAGATTGATCCAGATGGCATGGCTCATAGATATGTATTCGTGAGGTGGCTACAGCCTAATGGTGAGTGAGAGTCAAGGATGTCTTTGGGTATCCGGTAGCCCAATGAAAGTATCCGGTAAATATCATTTGAATATCGTCTACGTATCTTGTGAGAATTCAAAATGACCCTTTATTCTAAAAAATATATATGCTTGTCAACTAATAATCTCTGAGTACGAGATATTCGAAACGTCAATACAGTTGTGCTTGAAGGTTGGACCATATTGCTATTTGTAGACACTAAACGGGCTAGCGGTTGCTGTCTTTCAATCTTAATGAAGCCGGTGAGACTATGTGAGTATATGGCTTCTATTGGTGGTGAAAAAACAGTACATTCCGGAACTTTTATGATGTGGGAGAGTCGGATTAGTTACCTCGTAGATATATAGCGGCCATCTGTCACAATCTATCTAGGTTTGTGAATTGAAAGAAAGGTTTTTTTGACACTTGGTCTGCACATGAGAACGAATGGCCAAAATTACATCTTCCATTTAGATGTGTCGTTTATCTCGGTCAAAACAGAGCGTGTTCAGTAGTGCAGTCGGTGTCGTCCAAGGGAGTTACATTCTATTCCTGCGCTCCTTGGAGCAACTACAGCTATATGAATGGTTATGTACATGCTTAGAGTCAACCATTATAGTCGATGATGATATGCATAAAGAAGCGGGGCAACTATACGAGTGGATAGTCACTTGCCTATTAAGGATGCGGATCTGTTGTTGTGTGGGGTTGATAGCTTGGCAATGGCACGCAAATGTTGCTGGCTTCGTCTGCCCGCATATGCCTTGTCCAAATATGTTATAGCAGTGAATTCGCTCTTCATACTACTAGTCGTAGTCATAGAAATGATCTTTCAAGTTGTGGTACCTGCATGGTTGTTGGTTTGAGATGTGTTAGCATGTTATTGTATGTGCCAAAAAATGTTAAAAAAAGAAGTATGATAGGTGTGTTGGCTTACAACGCAATTTTGTATTTGTCAAGAACAGTCAGCCAAGAGAGTCTGATATATTGACTTCCGATTCGTATAAGCATGCTTACGACAGCACGAAACTGGTTCTGTGGTGTCTTGGTGGCCCACGATATGTCCATATACGGTATGTATACGCTTGCTCGTAGTGCAAACACACCTTGTATTTTGCCTACTCTCTTCATGCACAGGCATCTCATCTGTCTTGTATGCGTTGAGTTCACGAGACACCTCCTGCATTTCCGCACCTGAGATCAGCCACGGCATGCAGTCCGGCTTTCGGTCGTACACATCTGTGTAGTTGCAAACAGCGACGTGTAACATGAGTGAGAAGGCCACGTTTCCCATCGATTGAACATTCTGTTAGATCGTATTTCACAACTTAGTCTCATATAGACATGCTACACATGGGTCTAGTTCGCGTAAGACCTAACACACAGATGTTTTGATAAAATATTTATGCAATATTCAAAGTGTCAGCGACCAATACGGGGGGGACATATAGTGGTATGCACTGCTAATCGCTCTAAATTTCTCGTCTCTGCGACCGACTGATGCCTAAAGTATTAGGGTTGTCGCCATGAATAGATACAATGCGTTTACTTTTTGCGAGCACAAACACTCACAGAGTCAAAGCCCCACAGATTTATTTATTAGAATACATAGTTTAAGTTCCACATTCTGGATATAAGTTGATATATCTCTACGACGTCCTAAAACGCGAACCAAGGCATTGGGGAAGGAATCAAATCCACCAAGTTGCCAACATTATATGTGGCCTTTGAGATAACACACACAT